CCAGTACTTTGGGAGGCCAAGGCTGGCGGATCACCTGAGGTCAGGATTAGAGACCAGCCTGGCCGACATGGTGAAACCCCGTGTCTACTAAAAATACAAAAATTAGCCAGGCCTGGTGGCGGGTGCCTGTAGTCCCAGCTACTCGGGAGGCTGAGGCAGGAGAATCACTCGAACCCGGGAGGCGTAGGTTGCAGTGAGCCGAGATCACACTATTGTACTCCAGCCTGGGCAACAAAAGTAAAACTCCATCTCAAAACAAAACAACAACAACAGTGCAAGCAGAGGGTGCCAGAGGTAGGGGAGGGTGCCAGCCCCTCTGGGGCTGCGGTCTGGGCTGCGCGTTTGGCCGCCCCCTCCTCGCAAAGGCAGTGGCTTCCAAACTCCTGTGCGCAGTTAGCCTCGGGCCCCCCGGCTCTGGCAAGGGCACTGTGTGCCAGAGGATCGCCCAGAACTTCTCCCTCCAGCATCTCTCCGATGGCTACTTCTTGCCGGAGAACGTCAAGCCCTACGCCGAAGTTGGTGAGATGGCAAAGCGGTGTATAGAGAAAAGTCTTTTGGTTCCAGACCATGTGATCACATGCCTAATGATGTCTGAGTTGGAGAATAGGCGTGGCCAGCACGGACTCCTTGACGGTTTTTCTAGGACATTGGGACAAGCCAAAGCCCTGGACAAAATCTGTGAAGTGGTTTTAACGATCCGTTTGAACACTCCATGTGAAACACTTAAAAATCATCTCAGCTGCCATTGCATTCACCCTCCTAGCAGAAGTGCATAAAACCTGGACTTCTATCCACCTCATGTAGGTGGGATTGATGATGTCACTGGTGAACCATTAGTCCAGCAGGAGGATGATAAACCTGAAGTAGTTGCTGCCAGGCTAAGACATTATAGGGATGTGGCAAAGCCAGTCATTAGATTATGCAGGAGCCAAGGACTTCTCCATCAATTCTCTGGAACGAAGACGACAAAATCTGGCCCATGTTTACACACTTTTCTCAAGTGTGTAAACAAGATCACACCTATTCAGTCCAAAGAAGCTTATTAACTCTGCCCAATGGAGGAACCAGGAAGATGTGGTCATTCATTCAATTGTGTGTGTAATATTGATGTTGAATCCAAATTAGAAGTTAGCTGAGGTAGCTTGCAGCATCTTTTCTACTTGAAATGGTGAACTTATAGGAAAACAAATGAGTAGAAAGAGTTCATGAAGAGGCCCCCCTCTCTGCCTTTCAAAAGGAAGGTCACCTACACATGTTTAACGTGTCTCTGCACTCTCAAGCCCTTCACAGGAAAGCAAGTACAGTGTGGATTTCAAATGGGGTGTAACTTCAGCTCCAGCTGACTTTTGACAGCTGTGTTGTTGCTGTGGTATCCCTTTTTTACACATGACAGTGATGGTTTCTGGTTCTCCCACCCCTACAAAAACTGTTGAACCACAGCACCTGGAAGCCTGAATCTACTAAGGGCTCTAGCCCAGATTTTGTCCCAGGTTATCTACTGTGTGCCCTCCTGGTGACAGTGAAATTGAAGCTACTTACTCTCGGTGGTTGTTTCTCTGGTCTTGTGTGACTGTGTCCACAGTTCATTTTTTTTCGGGTAGGAGTAACTCCTTTTTTGGCATCTGTGCTCTATAGAGTCTCTCCTTTTCAGACATCCTGGGATGAAAGCATCTGGCTTCTATTTTTTTTTAGACTGTATATATTTTTTGACATCTGTTTTCACTCTTAGACTATTAAACAAAACGGGTCATTATTTTTCTTATCCCTCTCAAATTCTTTTAAGAACTGAGAGTGAGGGGGTTGTATTGAATCTCTTTATGCACCAGAACTGAGCTGTGAAGAGGATCTTCTTTCTGAAGAGGAACTTATTAAACTGCTGGTCTGACTCTTGTGTATTGACACTGTTCCTTTCTTTTATCATGAACAAAATTAAACCCCTAAAAGTCTTTTGGGAATCCTAAAAAAACATGGGAAGTGTAAGTATTTAGCTACATAAATGTTGTAAGATCATATCTTATGTATACAAGTAATAAGACTATTTGGAATTATTGGACTAATTGAATAGTTAAGGTTTCTAGTCAGGACAATAAAATGTAACTTGAAAGTGCTGCTAACTGTTGATGCTGACAGTGTGTCATCCTGGGAGTGACTCAAACATATTATATATAGGTGTCAAAGAGAACGGAGCCTGTGGGATTGAGCAGAAGGTTGTACTAGCTGTGCCTGGACTGAGTATAACAGCTTTACAATTACAGGAAAACAAAATCTTTATTTTTTTTTTCTGTTCCAAAGATTCATCCTATGGAGTGACCATAAAGTCTAGAATTAGATACTAATATTTTGTCATTCATTACAACCTTATATCAATAAACCATTTGTTAAAAGACCTGCCTGGTTTTCAGACTTGGTGGTTACCTTGAATAATTCTTGTGTCCTCTGGGAAGGACAATGATGTTTTTTATTCCTGCTGCCTCAAAAATATGTGTCCCTTCTTCATGCATCATGACTGTCCCCAGCTAGTGTCCTTTACTATTCCTAGGAGTGCCTCCTGTCTAACTTTTCCTACTAGGGAGAAGAAAAGAAGTCTAATTTAACACTTCAGTGGTGTTGAAACACATTACTTCCTTTCTGAAGATATCCCAGTGAATCCTTAGTCAATTCGCTGTCATGTATAATCTGTATGATAATGAGCACATCTTCCTTCAAAGTACTGCCCAAACTCTTGCCAGCTCCTCTCCCCTTGTCCCTTCATGTGATTTTTTTTGTCTGCCTTAGTGGAAATATAGACCAGTCTCTTCCCCATCCTCTCAAACATATGAGATAGTTTCCTTTTTAGGTTTATGCAATGAAAATGCTCCATCAGATCTATGAATTGTCAGTGCATTATATTGACTGAGCACTTTAGAATTTAGAGATGCAACTGAATGGCAGTTTGTGGAGATGGGGTGCATATCCAATATATAGATAAAACTCAGGCTTGCTGAGGAACCAGTTATAGGGAAAAGTAAGTCTGATATGAGGAAATTTGCATGATTTAGAGTAATTCTGCCATAGAGAAAATTTCCACAAAGTAGGAAACATAGAGCATTAAAGTTTTTCTGTAGAACACTCAAAAGCAGAAAGTCTGCTTTTTTGGAAACCAGGAAAATATTCAAACTTCTTTCTTCACTTCCCTTTGTGTTTAGCTGACCCTCCAATGTGATCATTGCCTTTGGAGTTTGGGAGAGGTGTGGGAAATGGCCTGATCCCTGTTGCCATATTTCACTCCTCCATCCATCCTTCTTTCCCTCTTTCCTTCCAGCCCACAGACAATTCTAGCCAACACTGAGTCACTCCGTAAGTCTCAACAGTGTGTGTGTTTGCTGAGACTGTCCAGCAGTTGAGGGTCCATGCTGGTTTAGGTGAGACCAAAAAGAGATAAATACGTTTTCCATGATCTTTGAAACATAATGCTAGTTTCGTGGTCAATGGCCTTAAAAAATATATTTCTGGTTTTCTTCAACAAACTCGCTAGTTTTCCCTTAAATTAGTTCATAAAAATTAAAGTTATCTTGAAAATGTTTTGAAAAAAGTAAAATTAAAAGGACATCTTTTCTTGCTTTTCCTTCTACTGCCACACGTGACTGTTCTTTCACCGTTAAGCAAAGAGGTTGGTTTAGATGGTTTCTAAGATTCCAACCTGACCTCACATTCTGTCATTCTACTCAGCTCTTAATTCAGTTTGCTTCCCTTATCCTAACTGGCTTCTTACTTACTTAGACCTTGGAAATGCTGCTGTATTTAATATCCTCCAATACTAAGGCAGACTTAAGATAGGTACTGTTTATTGAAAACCTACTAAGTGAAATGTGCAGTTTTAAAACCTTTATTAGCATCTCAATTTTTCTAGCATCCTATGAAATAGGCATGATTTAATGTTGATAAACAAAGAAGACAGGAGTCCCACGGATGTGAAGCATCTTGCCCAGGCTTCTGCTGCTGGTGACCAGTGTAACTGGGACTCCAGCCCAGGTTTTCCTGACTCAGAAGACTGAGCTTGTTCCTGGATGTTATTCATAGCTACTTGGGTTCAAGCAACCAAGGGTCTTAAGTCTGCTTGCTTCTGCTTATGGCCTCATCAAGAATAACAGAGTTAGTCTAGGTTTGGTGGAGCTAGTCCATACCTGTAGTCCCAGAGTTTGGGGAGGCCGTGATGGGAAGATTGTCAAAGGCTAGAAGTTCAAGACCAGCCTGGGCAACATCACAAGATTCCATCTCTACAGAAAAATAAAAAATTAGCCAGGCACGCTGGTGTACAGTTGTTGTCCTAGTTACTCAGGAGACTAAGACAGGAAGATTGCTTGATTCTAGGAGTTCAAGGCTCCAGTGAGCTATGATTGCTCCTCCATACCCCAGCCTGGATGACACAGGAAGACCCTGTCTCTTAAAAAAAAAAAAGAAAGAAAAAAAATAGTAGAGCTCACCAAAGTGATGTTCACCTTTTTATGACATTCCTTTGTTTTTTTTTTTCTTTTTCCTTTGTTTAAGCAAAGGAAGCTGCTAGGGGAGAGTCTTAGTCTTCCTGCCTAAGACATCCTTTATGAATAGAATAAAAGTTTGTCAAAGTAGGCTGGGCTGGGGTCCAGTCTAATCTGTGAAGGAGGCTAGCTCATGTTTCTTACCTACGCTTTCGGTGCCCACTGGGCAGTGGCCCTGAGGTGGCCTTTACCCTTGAGCCATCCCTAGCCATGGTGTGCACACATAGGCTTTTGAGCTCCTTGGAGCTATCCAGGCCCTGCTCACTTTTCTTCCTGAGATCAAAACAAATCACCCCCTCACTCCCACTCTAAACAAGGTCTTGATGATAAAATAATCCTTCTCAAAATGTTGGTAGGTAAACAAGCGATAATGGAACATCAAACAAAAGTTAACTCCTGACTTTTGCACCACTGTCTCTCTATTCCATTACACATTAACATGATTCTGAATGCCAAATCCAAACCTTTGCCCACCATCTACTTGTCGTGCAACAGTTGAGGAAGTAACCAGGGGAGATTCACTTCCTGTCTTGTCCTTCCCCAGGGACAACTCCCCTGCTGTCCTCCGGCAGCCAAGCTCAGATGAGCTCCATTTTTACCCAAGGTGTGCTCCTCTCTTTGGTAGGGAAGGAGAAAGGTAAGAATAGCATGAATGAGGAAGGATTCTTGGAGGGAGGTGCTGCTGTGGTTTTTTCTGCTATTTAAGATGTTGAGGCAAGATAACTTTAGAAGAATGCCTGCACAAACCTATAAATAGTGCTTTTATAAAATTAAGTTCACTGGAAACTGAGTTCAGTATTTGACATTAGCTCTTTTTGTCCAAAGAATTTAAGCCTGCTGGAGGTCTTTGCTCAAATAATAAATACTGCGTATTTCCAAATATGTTAAGGTATAGACAGTAGTTACTGTTTATTTACTCCGTATTAAGCACATTATATGCAATGGCTAATCAAATCCTCATCAATTACCTATGTAATAATCTCAATCAACTTGCCTTGTTGTAGTATAGATGGAAATAATCCTGTTTTTTAAACATGTTTTCATGTACCCGTAGGGGTTTATCAGGAAATTCAAAGGGCCTTTTTTGTACCTCTCCCTAGTTTAGGTTCCCTGTTCTCATTAACAGATAAAACAATGTATTTGCTTCAGCCTGTAATCTTTGCCTTTGGCGCTTAGGGACAGACACAGGAAACTGGGCACTGAGGGAGTCACACTAGTAGTCAAACACTGTATCTACAGAGGGCGTGCCTCATCTCTACTCTGCTGCAGGGTTTCAGGAGGTATTGTGTCCACCTGAGAATTCCATTTATTACCTTTCATTTAACAGAGTCTTTCTTTTCTGCAGTTGATTTTGCTGGAGAGGCAATTCATAAGGTGAAGTCCTATTTGTAATGTGACTTGTTTTCTCACTATCTCCTTTCATTTTTAGTAACTCCTTGGTCTATTTGGCGTCTTTAAAAAGAGGACCTGGTAATGGAGACTTCTTTTAATATGGAAATGTGGTCTGATAACAAGTTATCATTTATTTCTGCATGTAACTGATCCAGTCTGTTTTCCAGATGAGAGGTGTGCAAGCCCCAGATGTTGAGAAGCTGTATTTCAACTAAGAAAAAAAATTCGCTTCCTGCATCTGTTGGAAGATAATCATTCATACTTGCCATCCCTTATCTTTCTTGTGACAATTTGCACAGTTCTTGCCAGAATAAATGCCGTTATCTGTATGTTTCAGGGAATCCCCCAATTTGATCATTTTGTGAGTGTGTGTATGTGGTATATGTGAGAGAGCTTCAGTAAAAACACTTCTAAAGGGTGAAGGCTTTTTGTATGGCATAGATATGAAATCCCTTCCTCTGGTAATAATTAGGTTGTTCCCAGAAGCACAGTGTCTTTCTTTAAATAAAAGCTTTCCCGTTTAAATCTTTTTTTTTTTTTTTTTTTTTTTTTGAGATGGAGTCTCACTCTTATTGCCCAGGCTGGAATGCAGTGGTGCGATCTTGGCTCACTGAAACCTCTGCCTCCCGGGTTCAAGCGATTCTCCTGCCTCAGCCTCCCAAGATGCTGAGATTACAGGCACCTGCCACTACACCTGGCTAATTTTTGTATTTTAGTAGAGATGGGGTTTCACCATTTTGGTCAGACTGGTCTCGAACTCCTGACCTCAGGTAATCTGCCCACCTTGGCCTCCCAAAGTGCTGGGATTACTGGCATGAGCCACCTCACCCTACTGCTTAAAGCTTTTCAAAGGAGTAGACTACCTTGAAGATTCCGCCTAGGGTTGATATGTGTTTAATTTGTTTTATAAAATTATTCTTGTTTTCATTTTAAAGCTTTGGCTATAAAATCAGAAATGTCCTAAATAAACTATTTTCTATTTAATTTAGAGAAGAGTCAAGGGAAGAAAAATGAAAACTTAGCCTTTATGTAAGCTCCAAGAATATCACGGCTTAGAAGGCTTTTCTAGTTTTATAAGAATTTGTACTATTGATTTTTATATATTCTTGCTTTTTGTGTTTTTTTGTTTTGTATTTTTTGGGATTTTTTTTTTTTTTTGAGATGTAGTCTCGCTCTGCGTTCCAGGCTGGAGTGCAGTGGCATGATCTCAGCTCGCTGCAGCCTCCGCCTCCTGGGTTCCAGTGATTCTCCTGCCTCAGCTCCTGAATAGCTGGGACTACAGGTGCATGCCAGCACTCTTGAGTAATTTTTGTATTTTAGTAGAGATGGGGTTTCACCATGTTTGAGGGTCTCAATCTCCTGACCTCGTGATCCCCCCTGCGTTAGCCCCCCAAAGTGCTGGATTACAGGCGTGAGCCACCACACTCGGCCCTATATTCTTTTTTTTGAGATGAATAGCTCTCCAGGGAAATTGTGGAGTTACAATGTGGATGACATTTTGCTGTGATCCCTCTCCAGCTCAGATCAGTTCTGTAACCCAATGACAACCTGTCTCTTGGGTTTACTATCCTGTGAAATGTCAGCTCAAGTTTCCCAGAAGTCATGTGTGTATGATGAGTCAGAGTGCTTTTCCTCAGTGGGACAGTTCTTAATTTTGGTGTATGTGTTTCAAAGTATCTAAACCTCTAGTCTGATCTGTATATGATACCCTGTCAATTGTATTATTATTTTGATTATCTTGCTTGAAGGTTCATACATTTCCATTTGATGGAAATAAAAGGTTTTTTTTCTGCTTATAATAAAATAAAATGCAGTTTTAGATTCAGTAGATTTGGAGTAGAATCTGAGAGTCTGAATTTCTCTTAGAATTAGCCTCTGTTAATGCAGAGGCTAATTCTACTCTATTACTGCTAGTCCAGGGCACATGTTTGGGAGCAAAGCTGTAGAGCTCAGTACAGGTGTCAGAGACCCTGTTTGAGAATCTGAGAAGGGCTATAGAACCAGTTCACAGCAAAATGCATAAAAACGTAATTTATATGCAATTGCAAAGGATTTGCAGGGTCTCTGCACGCTACCCTTAGGCTCAAGGTTCACAGGACACACACATCAACCTGGTTCTCACGAGTAAGTGATAGGAATCTTTAAATAATAATGTCCAATATCTATTGAGCACCTACTATATACCTTGGCATTGTGCTGAGTGATCTTGACATATTAGCTCATTTAATTTTCACAACAAACCTATGAGGTAGGTACTATTATTATCATTCTCATTTTACAAATAACAGGTGGATCACTCAAGGCCAGGAGTTTGAGACCAGCCTGGCCAGATGGTGAAACTCTATCTCTACCAAAATTCCAAAAATTAGCTGGGTGTAGTGGGGCACGCCTGTAATCCCAGCTAATGGGGAGGCTGAGGCAGGAGAATTGCTTGAACCTGAGAGGTGGAGGTTGCAGCGAGCCGAGTTCACGCCATTGCACTCCAACCTGAGTTACAGAGTGAGACTCCATCTCAAAAAGAAAATCAATCAATAAATAAGGAAACTGGTTACAGAAAGTTCTAAGCAATTCGTCCAAGGGTATTCAGTGGAGTATTCAGGAATCCAGGGTTTATGAATCCAGGTGTTTAATTACTATGTTGTGCTGCACTTAATGTGTAGTAATTACTTTGAAGAAAGTAATTACTTTCTTCAAAGAGCGTGAAAATGTGGGCTGACTCTACCTGAGATTATCAAATTCTGATGGGTATCAGAATCTTCTGGGGGAATTTGTTAATTATCAAACAATGCTTGGATTCCGGTCTAGCTTCTGAATCAGAATCTCTGGAATGGGGCTGGGCGATTGTGCTTAACTGATACCCAAGATGATTCTGATGTGCAAAATTTGAGAATCATTGTCACAGACTTTCTGAAGTCTGAGTTTTAAGAGTCTAAAGGAAAGTTAAATGAAGTTTGTTGTGTGAGAAATTCTGACAGGGAAAGTGGTTCTGAGGGTTAGGAGGCTCCCAGAAATGTACTTCTGACTCTGATCTTTATAAAGGAGAGAAGTGTAGAGTCTCTGGAAAATTCCTTTGGTGTTCCATCAGGATTATTCCTTAATACAGTCACTTGGAAGGAGAAAGGCTCACTTTGAAAAGTTCACTTTATTGAGGACACAAAAAAGTACTTATAAAGGGGCACTGATGATCTGTAAAAAATTAACCCCATTCCCCATTTCTTCCTCCTCCTCCTCCTCCTCTTCTTCTCCTTCTCCTTCTCCTTCTTCTTCGATGGAGTTTCACTCTTGTCACCCAGGCTGGAGTGCAGTGGCGCATTCTCAGCTCACTGCAACCTCTGCCTCCTGGGTTCAAGCAATTTTCCTGCTTCAACCTCCTGAGTAGCTGGGATTACAGGTGCACACCACCACACCCAGCTAATTTTTTGTAGAGACAGCGTTTTGCCATGTTGGGCAGGCTGATCTCAAACTCCTGACCTCAGGTGATCTGCCTGCCCCAGCCTCCCAAAGTGCTGGGATTACAGGCGTGAGCCACCATGCCTGGCCACCCCTCTCCCCATTTCTAACCCCAGATAAGCTTAAGTACGTGTGAGGGGGAAAGAGCTAATAACAACAAGAAAAACGAGATGTGTGTCGGTGGCGGGGTGGGGTGGGGGGTGGGGGCGCGAGAGCACAGCTTGTCTCTTTCCTGAACTCTTGCTTTACTTTTCCTTTTCTCATTCATTGATTCCAGCTTTTTTTAAAAAACTGCCTGTGCCCTCATTTTGCCAAGTACACTCTAGGAACTAGGAAGGCCTACTCCCTTCGCTTAAGGTCCATTAACCACAAAGATCAATCCAAGGATGAGTGCTAGGAGAGGAGCAAGTGCAGTGATGGAAGAGCACAAATGGGATCCTGAGCAGAAGAGGAATCGCAAGATGAAAGAAGAGCATATTTTACTATGATTTCTAAAACAGGTAGAGCAGGTGTATTGTGACTGGAGGCCAGTAACTACATAGCAATCCTACCTAAGATTTGTAATTTTAATGTTTAATTTTCATCTGAGACAGAGTCTTGCTCTGTTGCCCAGGCTGGAGTGCAATGGCACTATCATGTCTCACTGCAGCCTTATCTCCTAGGCTCAAGTGAACTTTCCACCTCAGCCCCCTGAGTAGCTGGGACTACAGGCCTTGTGCCACTGTGCCCAGCTATTTTTTTTTTTAATTTTGTGGAGAAGGGGTCTTGCAGTGTTGTCAGTGCTGGTCTTGAACACCTGGACTCAAGCAACCCAATTGCCTCAACCTCCAAAAGTGCTGAGATTACAGGCATGAACCACTGTACCCAATCTATTTTTATTTTTTAAGAGACAGGGTCTCACTATTTGCCTAGGCTGGACTTGAACTCCTGGGCTCAAGTGATCCTCCCACCTCAGCCTCCTGAGTAGCTGGGGCTACAGGTATATGCCACTGTACCCAGTCTGTCCAAGATTTAAAAAAAAAGAATACATGTGATATCTTTGAGATTATAGATATTTTATAGGTCATTAATTTACATATTTCTGGTGACATATTTTTAAGGAAATTGTTGAAGAGATATTTGTGGGCAGGGCATGGTGGTTCATGCCTGTAATCCCAGCACTTTGGGAGGCCAAAGCAGACAGATCACAAGGTCAGGAGTTCGAGACCAGCCTGGCCAATATGGTGAAACCCCATCTCTCCTAAAAACACAAAAATTAGCCAGGCATGGTGGCGGGTGCCTGAAGTCTCAGCTACTTGGGAGGCTGAGGCAGGAGAATGGCTTGAACCCAGGAGGCAGAGGTTGCAGTGAGCTGAGATTGAGTCACTGCACTCCAGCATGCATGACAGGGTGAGATTCCATCTCAAAAAAAAAAAAAGAAAGAAAAAAGAAAAAAAAAAAAGATGGCTTTCATATCCAAGTGAGGCTCCACCCCTTTCACGTCATCCACATCAACAAGATGTTGTCTTGTGCTGGGGCTGAAAGGCTCCAAACAGGCATGTGAGGTGCCTTTGGAAAGCCCCAGGGCACTGTGGCTGGGGTTCGCACTGGCCAAGTTATCAGGTCCATTGGCACCAAGCTGCAGAACAAGGAGCATGTGATTGGACCCTGCACACGGCCAAGTTCAAGTTCCCTGGCCACCAGAAGATCCACATCTCCAAGAAGTGAGGCTTCACCAAGTTCAATGCCAGTGAATTTGAAGACATGGTGGCTGAGAAGCGGCTCATCCCAGATGGCTGTGGGGCCAAGTACATCCCTGATCATGGCCCTCTGGACAAATGGTGGGCCCTGTACTCATGAGGGCTTCCACTATGCTGCCCCCTCTTAATACTCACCAATAAATTCTACTTCCTGTCAAAAACAAAAAATAAAAGAACAAGTCACGACAAACCAGCACTGTTTCTAGGGAACCACTGTAGGTAGTGGGTTGAGTGGGTGGTAGGGAAGCAGAAACAACAGGTATGGATCCATAGAAATCTTTGTTTCTGAAAAAACATGCATGGTGTGTCAGCATATGTCAGACATTTGCTAGGCAACTGTATGTATTTTTTTTAAATTTGCTCATTACCAGAACCTTAATAAGAAAACACTGTCTTTCTAAAACACAACAACATAGAATCCAGCCCCTCCAACCCTGACACTGAAGGAGAGATTGGTAGAAGGAGAATATCTTTCTGGAGCTTGGTTGCCCATCCACAGGACCCCAAATCAGATGCTAGACACACCCTCACCTCCTTTTTATGGTTTTTCACTAAAGATTGTAACTAAACTCCTCACACTTGGGAATTGGCTCAAGTGTTAACAGAAGACTTTCCCCTTAATACTCTGTAGCAAAGCTGAAAAAGGACTGGAAGCCATAAACACCTTTAGGAAAGATAGGATATAAAATGGAGATACACATGAAAAAGGACCAGAATCTAGATAATCTGGTTTGCAAGATAAAGTTTACTCATCTTTATTTAGAGTCCTCTGCAGAGACTATGACTGCTTTTCACTACCGGAGTACTTACTTTAAATTACTGTTGTTAGAATTTCTCTACCTATTTTCAGTAATTTTTCTTTACCCCAGTTGAACTGTTTAGTTACAAATGGTTATAACCTACCTTCTAGAACCAATCTTATCTTCCACTAATCCCCAATGTGAGTTCCTCGTTTCACAGCCTTTCCTACTCATAAAGACTTCAGAAAAGTCATTTGTTTTGCCTCCTCTACGCTTAAACCATCGTTCAATCTTCAAAGTTTATTCTTCCTCAGCACCCTTTTCTATTGACTCAAATTGTTTTATTCAGGGCTTTGATGTTTCAAGGACCAGAAATTCAATTAAGTTAGTTTAAGTAAAAGGTTTTCTTAGAACAATGACATGAAATTTCTCAGAAATACCAATGAGCCTTGTATTTGTTGTGAATATTTTAGGCTTAAACACATTTTTTTTTTCTCACATAAGAAGAAATCTAGAGGCAACCAGTTGCTGGTGGTTATTTTTAGTAGAGCTCAACATTACAAAGACCAGTGACTTGAACCAAATTCCTTCTCATAGAAAAAAATGAAAAAAAAAAAAAAAAAAAAAAAAAAAAGACCAGTGACATTGCTTTTCTTGGTCTTTCCCTCATAATCAAAAGACGGCTGCTATAGCTCTAGACATCAGGTTCATGTTCAAAGAGGGTAGAAAGGAAGGGAAGGGAAGTCAGTCTTTTCCTGTAGTCAGGAAAGCAAAAACAAAGAAACCTGCTAGTAGATATCTGCTTACATTACATGAACAAGAACTCTATCACATAGCTGCTAATGAAGGAAGTGAAATGACAAGCCACATACTCAGAGAAAAGATGTACCACACAAAGAATTATTATGAAGAATATATGAAGAACTTCCACAATTAAGAATAAGATAAATAACACAATAGAAAAATGACAAAAGACAGGAATGAGCAGTTAACAGAAGAGGAAACATTTTTGGTAAATACATTTCAGGAAAGACATCCAACCACATTAGTGACCAGGGGAATGTAAATTAAGACTACATTGAGATACACATTATTCCTACTAAACTAGCAAAAGTTACGAAGTCTCAGAATATTGCATTGATGAGAATCTGGAGTTGTATCCACTACTAGTGGGGGTGTGGATGAAATGGTATAACCATTTAGTAACACAATTTGAGATTCTCTCATGAAGTTGAATGTGGACATACTACATAATGTAGCTAGTAATTCCACACAAGAGACATGTACACAAATGCCTGCAGCAGCATTATTTGCATAAATGAAAACCCAGATGATTATTGTCAGAAGAATGAATAAAGTGATGTACTCATATGACAGACCTACTATTGCAGCAACATGAATGAATGTAAGAAATATAATTGAGTGAAAAAAAGGCAAGGGCTGAAGATTAAATCTTTGGCATAATATTTTTAAAAGCTAAAAAAACAAGTAAGCTAAACGACATATTTTTAGAGATACATACCCATGTGGTTAAACGATAGGGAAAAAGCAAAGCCAAAAAAAGGGAAACACGAAATTCAGGTGCATTTAAAGACTGCAGTGATCCAGGTGTTTAGTCGAATAGAATCATAGATTCATAGTTGCCCATTTTATTATGCCTCATAACTTATTTCTATTTATTTATTTAATTTTGAAATGGAGACCACTCTGTCGCCCAGGCTGGAGTACAGGTGGTACGATTTCAGCTCACTACAACTTCTGTCTCCCGGGTTCAAGTGATTCTCCTGCCTCAGCCTCCCATAGCTGGTACTACAGGTATGTACCACCATGCCTGGCTAAATTTTTGTATTTTTAGTAGAGGTGGGATTTCACCATGTTGGTCAGGCTGGTCTCGAACTCCTGACCTCAAATGATCTATCCACATTGGCCTCCCAAAGTGCTGGGATTACAGGTGTGAGCCACCATGCCCGGTCTTTTCATAACTTATTTATATGTTAAATGTTATATATTTATGTATCAAATATTATATGATAAAAACTTTAATAAGGTATGAAGAAAATGACTTTGACAAAAGTGTAAAAAAGATTAAAATACACCACACTGTGAAATTTTCTTTCTGGAGCATATGTACTGGGGAACCAGATGTTTACATTTTTAGTTATTTTAGTTTTACAGTGCTATTTGAGTATAACAGAAACTGTAATTGCTTCAGTCCATTTGGGGGAAAGGACATTTGGGGGAAAGAAAAATATCCTAATGGAATTGAGTCTTATTACTTTGCAGACAATTTTTGAAATAAATATGTTGCTGAGACAGTAAGAGCTGTTAGAATGGAGAGACAGAGATTTACTGATATTGTGTTAAAGATCAGTGCAAGTAGAGGAGTGGGGACAGAATTCAGCATGCAGAGGTATCGAAAGAGAAACTGAAAATTCGGCATGTAGATTGCAGACTCCGTTTCAAGAAGTTTAGTTATGACAGAAGAGAGGAAATGAGCTTCTTTCTTCTTCAGGGAGCTTTAGGACTGTTCTTTTTTTTTTTTTTGGAGACAGAGTCTCGGTCTATCACCCAGGCTGGAGTGCAGTTGTGTGATCTCAGTGCACTGCAACCTCTGCCTCCAGGGTTCAAGCAATTCTCTGCCTCAGCCTCCCAAGTAGCTGGGATTATAGGCGCCCACCACCACGCCTGGCTAATTTTTGTGTTTTTAGTAGAGATGGGGTTTCATCATCTTGACCAGGCTGGTCTTGAACTCCTGACCTCATGATCCATCTGCCTTGGCCTCCCAAAGTGCTGGTATTACAGGCACGAGCCACCGCCCCCAGCTAGGACTGTCTTCTGAAGCTCCACCCTACTTTGCTTTTGTTTGATGCCTATATTACATGGAGAAAAATATAGGCCCAAGGGCAAACTTTGTTAAGCATTTATACAAGCCTCTGAGGTGTCTTTCTCCCTCCCTTTCTCCCTCCCTCTCTCCCTTCCTCCCTTTCTTCCTCCCTCCCTCCCTTTCTCCCTCCCTCCCTCTCTTTCTTTCTTTCTTCCTTTCCTTTCTTTCATTTTTTCTGGGATGCACAAACTCCAGAGACATGGAGTCAGTGCTCTTGCCTCTGAGGTTTCATGTTCAGTCCAGGGATGACACACTCATAGCTACCTACCTCCTCTGAAGGTATTAATAGTGTTCAGTTTTTTCTTTTTTTTTTTGAGATGGAGTCTCGCTCTGTCATCAGGCTGGAGTGCAGTGGTGCGATCTCAGCTCACTGCAACCTCCACCTCCCAGGTTCAAGTGATTCTCCTGCCTCGGCCCCCAAGTAGCTGGGATTACAGGCGTCCACCACCATGCCCAGCTAATTTTTGTATTTTTAGTAAAGACAGGAGTTCACCATATTAGCCAGGATGGCCTCCATCTTCTGATCTTGTGATCCGCCTGCCTTGGCATCCCAAAGTGCTGGGATTACAGGCAAGAACCACGGTGCCTAGCCGATGTTATTATTTAATTTGTGTTTCCTTTTTTAAAAATTATTATTGCCAGGCATGGTGGTTCATACCTGTCATCCTAGCACTTTGGGAGGCAAAGCCAGGTGGATCATGAGGTCAGGAGTTTGAGACCAGCTTGGCCAAGATGGTGGAACTCCGTCTTAAAAAAAAAATGATTATTTTCACCACCATTTCAAAGTTATTTACCTCATTCTCAATTCCAATGATCACACCAGAATCCATTTATGACAACAAACCAAACAAAAAAAATTCCCCCCAAAAGGAATGAAACTTCCCCACTCCAAAACAAAATAATATTTTTTAGTCATTCTTTACAAAAATGAAGGTTTATTAATTGCTTTTGTTTTTTTTTGAGGCGGAGTCTCCCTGTCGCCCAGGCTGGAATGCAGTGGTGCTTTTCTCCGTTCACTGCTACCTCTGCCTCTTGGGTTCAAGTGATTCTCCTGCCTCAGTCTCCCAACTAGCTGGGATTACAGGTACACACCACCTGTTAGAATTTTTGTATTTGTATTGCTCCCAGGTAAAATCCCTACTCTGTGTGCCACCTGTATACTTACAAAACACTTCTATCACAGTGTTGATTTAATCACTTGCTTTCTAACTGGGCCTCAGGCTAACCCTTGAGGGCAGAGATATTCTCGTTTGTTTTAGCTTTTCCACAGCTGTGTACCAGGTATCCATTAGGGGCTCAATAAATGTTGAATTAATGAATTTGTGAATAAATAAAAGATCACTAATCAGTAAGGTTTTTTGAATGCTTATTTTTGAAAACACACTTTAAGAGTAAATGTTTATTGCTTTAGAATACAAAGAATAAGATCGATATTTGATAGTACAACAGGACACTATCGTCAATAATTAAGTTGTACACTTAAAAATAACTAAGAGGTATAATTGGATTGTTTGTAATACAAAGGACAAATG